CTATTCTCGTATGTTCTAACTTCAGATGTTTGTCCTAGGATATTTCCACTCACTTGCATAGCTGCTTCAGAATCTACACTCTAGATGTGTAGATAGTGGTTTCCTTTAAGTTTTTTCTGGTGTTAAAATTCGTAACCCTAAGCACACTTTCCTTTATCACGTTGAATAGTGATAAGAATTCGCGAGTTTTACGTGTATCGCTTCGTTTGTTGACAGCCAGCAGGGTAGCCAATGTTTCAATACGACTCCTTTCAACTTCATAATATTTACAGGTTTCGGGAAGTTTGCTGTAAGTTAATGCAATGCCGACAGAGGGCAATACCAGGCAACTGTCTGCACGGACAAGAATTTACACGACATAAAGGTAACTTGGAAGTGGCTGAACATGACTACAACCCATGCAGCCATTAAAAACTATTGCTTAAATTTATAACGCCAAAATCTAAGTTTATTATGTGAGTCCGCCAACAGACGCTTAGGAAAGTTTCCACAACTGAAAGTTAGATTATTTATTTATTTATCTGTAATTACTTTTCATAGATCCAGTTGTTATCCAGTAGGGCTGGATATAAAATTTGTCACATATAAAGTCTTACATAAAAGATCACATGCCATAAATATAAATACATAATATTAAATATAACATATAAAATTGAAGATATAAGATATTAAAAAATATATAAGGTAAATAGAGCCTCATGCAAAGAGCACAAGTTGTCAGTCCAATTTTCCTATTTAGAAAAACATGTTAAGTCCATTCTCATCCTTAACTGACTAGAATTGTCAAGTGTTAAATTAATCAGTACAGCCACTATTAAATCCAACCAAGGTAATTTGTGGATACTAAGAAAATCTGGCCGGTCACGGTAGCCGAGCAGTCTAAGGCATGCACTGTCTTCGCTCGCTCGGAAGCCGGGATCGTGGGTTCGAATCCCACTCAGGGCATGGATGTTTGTGTGCGTTTTTCTGTGTTTGTGTACAGGTAGAGGCCTTGCGACGAGCTGATCACCCACCCAAGGAGTCCTACCGTATGTCTAAGATCTAGAAAAATAACCGAAGTGAACGGAGAAGTTCATGGAGGTAGGCCTAGGCCCACTGGGGCTGTAGTGCCAGGGAAAAAAAAGAAAAAAAAACTGCCTAAATGAAGCACTGACATTCAGACTATTAAACTGATTTCTCCTTTATTTCAGCAAGCTAAGCTATCGAACTAAATAACATAGACCTACAAGCGTAGGAACTCTTGTTGACTTTACTCAGTCAGCAAATCAATATTTAACTGATCATTTTCGTCATTTCGCCAGGGGTGTGGTTCAAGCTCATGAAAGTGCAATATCGTAAGAGGGTTAGCTGACGACTGAACAGTAATCACATATAAACAAACCCATGCCTTCATGGCTGCAAGAGGCTTCGTGCCATCACTCTTTGCATACGAATTACTGAATTCAAACTAATTTTAATTAATCTCCTTGTTTCACTTCTCTCTTCTTCAGTTAAACATCTGCTTCTCCATTACGCCCCGTTTCTCTTCCAAATCACGCTTCAAACTGGAAGGCGCTTCTCAATGCCATTTTATCGAATCGCATATGTCGTAAGCCAACACACAAAGTGAGACATGCCCCAGAATTTCTTTGCTGGACAAGAATAAATTGAAATATATTTTTATGAGTATAGATTATATATATGGAGGCAAGCGGTAGCGTAGTTGGTTGAGGCACTATGCTACAAGCCGGAAGGTCGCGGGTTTGAGTCCCGATCAGATGGATTTTTTTCAATTTACCTAATCCTTCCAGCCACATTATGATCCAGTCGACTCAGCCTCTAACAGAAATGAGTACCAGGAATCTTCCGGGGGGTAAAGGGCGGCCGGCGCATAAGGCTTACAAGCTTACCGCCATCTGTAAGCCAATTGTCTAGAAAACGTAGAAGCCTGGACCTCTTACACCCCTATGGGCCTTCACGGCCTGTTACAGGGCTACCTTTACCTTTTTACTTTATATTATGTATATATACAATATTTCAGTTAACTTACGAAATTTTGGCATAGTCCTCGAATAGGCGAAGGTCATTTCCTTCCAAATTCTTTCCAATTAATCAATTATCCTACCATTCGATGCTGTATATTCTAGATACAGGCAGCGTCGCTAGATGAACTGTCCAAAATTATGAGCGGTTTCTGTTAACAATTCTTAAGTAGTAAAGAGAAAAAATACAATGTAAGTGGCAAATAGTTGCTTACACGTATCAATTGTGGGCTCTGAATGAATGAAACATGTCGCGAAATGCCTTCAAATGTTACCACAAATTTCGTGTTACAAATCAGAAGTGCCAACTGGCATCTTGCATTGCCAACATTCGTCGTCACTCTTCGCCATCTTGTTTAAATTTCCACCACGGGAATTCAAAACTTACTGTCATTTATAAGTTTCATTAATATTTTGAAAATTGCACACAGACTTATTAAGGTTTTGGATTTTTTTCCATCGTCCGGAAGTCCAAAACCCCAGTAATTCTGCGTGTCATCCACCATCGTCAGAACCATTTAGAATCTAATTATGAAAACTGTTCAACTTTTATATACATGCTCTGAATTCTTTGACATATTTTGATGAAACATGGCGGATGTCATTTCTCTGAGGATTGTACGAGAATTACTGTCCATGAGTTTCGTTCGTCTTAAAGTTACGAATCATTTCAGAATGATTTCCTTGCCCGTCTAATATTTAAGAGCGTAAAGATTGGAAAGTGCAGAAGCATTATCACATCTGAGGGAAGAATATAGATTAAGCGTTTAAAAGAAGTGGGTAAAATAAAAAAAAGTAAGGCTATCCCTGTAACAGGCCGTGAAGGCTCATAGGGTTGTGAGATGTTGAGGCTCCCACATTTTCTCTAGGCAATCGGCTCACAGATGGCGGTAAGGTTGTCAGCCTTACGCTCCGACCGCGCTTTACTCGCCAGGAAAATTATTTAATTAATTCTTGGTACTCATTTTTGTTAGAGGCTGAGTCGAATCCAGGGCCATAGTGCGGCCGAAAGGATTAGGTCAACTGAATATAATCCAATGACCTCATCGAGACTTGAACCCGCGACCTTCCGACTTGTAGCATAGTCCCTCAACCACTACGCTACCGCGTGCCTGTTCTCTCTTACAAATCAGCATTCCAGCGAAGTTCCGTTCAGTTACTGGTAATTCAACCGGCAAGAATGAGACTCTGACGTGCTTGACTTCTTTTCGAAGGTACTAGTTTCGAATATTGGTCGGGCGCAGGCGATATTAATCAACATTTTACGTGATTTTTTTTTACCGACTCATGGCGTATATCTGATTGCACAGACACACCCCGAACGCTTTGTGTATCTCACTCTCAGTGCAATATCTTCTCTCATCTCGTTGTAAGCATAATTACTTCTGCAATTGATACAGCGTCGTTAAATTAGTCACGGGTCATTGCTACCTCTAACGTGTGTGGCCGAAAGTGACAACTGAGTGGTTAACACCCCCACTTCTTATTCGAGAGTCTTGGGTTTATTTCTCAGTACTGAGACCTGCTATCCTAACGGAAGTGTTTCCAAGATCTTCTCATTCCCTCAAGGAAAATATTAAGATAGTAAATTCCTTTCACATCCTTCCCAATTCATCTTCACAATCCTGGTCGATCCTTCAGGAGCTATGCCTCTGTGGACAGAATTGTTGCATAGGCCAAGCAACAGGTGTAGAACACGCCAGCGCTTCGATACTCAGCTTGAACCTCATAGGGACAGGGCACGCTGCAGGTGTGACTAGTGAAGATGTGCCACCCCTGAACAAAGCCCTTAAATGCTTGGGTAGGCCTAAATAGGATGCAGCGAACTGATGTCGGGTTGCAAGACACAATGCATCACAGAAACTTGAGGCGGTAAGCAATAATTACGTCTCTAATTCACACCAAACACCTTTTGTGGCAAACCGATTATTATTTTTTTAATAACCCTCCACAACTGATGAAGGTCACCACCTTTACTCCATTAATTATATCAGCCGTGACTTGCATTGCTCTGTTTGGCAAACAATGGCCAACTTTAAAATAAAGGTGTCCTTGAATGAACGAAATCTGGGCCTCTTCTATAGATGATTTTAGAACATTGGGGTTTTGTAATGTATGTTGAGGCACATGTTGATGACTCTTTGGGGCGCCCGATTTCCATTATACGAGAAGGCATTGTCGAGAGAGCCAGAACCAGACTTCTCTACCTGCTCCACTAACTCAAAGAAGCAGAGACCTTGAGAAGATGACAGTCACCTAGTCAAGAAATTCTTCGTCTTTTGTGGAACTAGAAGGTTCATTATCACGATCACAAGAGTCCACCAGTGAATCCTATCCTGAGCCAGCTGAATCTGATCCACACCCATACACACTATCAGGTCATTTATTCCTAGGTCTCCTAAGTTATCTCTTCCCTTCCGGTTGTTCGACTAAAATAACGCCTCCTATGAGTGGTAATGTCCCACATATACCTTACTCCTTGATTAGACCATAATAAATGTAGTAACATAATTTTGGGCGTGTACGAGTATTAGAAACGTACTTTCGTTTGCCCGTTATAGTTCCTAGAAAGCTTTCGTTGCACCTGATCGACATTTGGCTGACATTCCTAAATGTGCTTTTATTTGATACAATTACGAGAGAATTTATGGATCGTAGTCGACAGAATATACCTACAACAGATATGGTTGCTTCACTATACATTAAGTCACCTTCCTTACATATTCTCAATGGTTACATATGAAATAAATACAAGTGCGAACCAATTTATGTACCTCATTAGGTTTTTAATTCGCCGGGAAATTGTGTCTCAAATTAGCGATAGGCTACCGGCAACCCCTTGCGGTCGATATTCATACATCGATACACTGCTGCTATGGATCAGCTTGAACTACCTAGAGATGCCATCTATTATCTGGATTTGTCATTACTCAATATAACAAAAATTAATCTCTCGTTAAAGGTATTTTCTTATTTTAATAGTGCTCTCTCTGACTTCATACGGTGCGCGCATTATCAGCATCGATCAGAATCGTTCTGTTTTGTGGGTTAGTTCCATGTAATTGAGGCAGTATAGGTGTAAAGGTTAGTATATGGTTATTGTGTAAAATCTATATTTTATTGTGCACTTTCTTTGACCTGCCCATGATATCAACATTAATGGGAGAGGTAAGCAAAAGTGCTATATAAAACATACTGAGAAAAATTCTTTCCCTGTACGCTGTTTGTGGTATAAGATTTCCAAATCTCAGCACACACAGTATGTGTAGAGCTCACTGAATATGAGCGTGTTTAATATAACCGATAGTTTAATGGAAGTATGCCGTACACCACCTGATGTTGTATTATGTCATGTTACTAAAACATTAGTATGTCACGTTTAAGGTTAGTGGTGTACATTGCATGGATTAAAACAGATTACCGCTTAACAGTTGTTTGCTAACGTATCAGTAGTATCCTGTCAGTTAATCGGTATGGAATTTTGACACAAGTAATATTCATGATATTGTTTCCTCATCACAGTGTATATTTGTTCTATCATTCTCTGTTAAAATTTCATCAGAGGTTAGACATAATGACACATATTTGTATTTTCCTACCCATTCACCTTTCCAAATTGTTCAGTAATAGAAATGAAAATTTACTGTATTTTACAGATGAGCGATGATATACTTGAGGTATGCAAGGAGCTGGATTACCTAATGATTCATGCTTTGGATCTTATGGAAGAACAAATTAAATGTAAATTGAAACTTCAAGAGACCATGAAATCAGGTTGCCTGAATTTGGCAAAAGCTCGGTACATAATGGGTCACAACAATATATCATCCCTGCAGCTACCAACAGAAGACAGTGCTGAAATTGCAGCTCAAAGAACAGTTGCATCATCAGTTGAAACCAAGAAGAATTTTGAATACATGGTCTTCAAACTTCATACAATAAATCTAGCAAAAATGTCTTCAGGAGAGCAAGAGGAGGGGAACAGCATCAGGAGAAGAGCAAGTAAAGATGGAAGTGAAAGCAAAGGAAAAGAGGATTTGAATTGTAAGAAAATTGAAGACAATGGACTTGTGATTGCTACTGACCCAATAAAATGGTTTGGTTATCTCGTACCTCAGAACCTGCGCCAAGCTCAGAAAGGTTTTCATGCAGCACTGGAGTTGGTTGTTCAGAGTGCAAACATTCAGTCTGAACTGGAGGCAACACATAAAAGATGTGACAAGCTTTTAAAATTGAAGACTGCTCTTATAGCTATTAAATCCGAAGTGTGAAGTAGTTGAAGAATGTGATCCCAGTCTTAATGAGGTGGTTGAACATTCCAGAGGAATGGAACTGAACGTTTTTATTTATGTTGTAAAGTGTAAAGAGCATCAAGATTCAGGTTAAGAAGCCAGGATGAGTGGTAAAAATGTGGATGAATTATTATTAAAATGTAGTGACTATGATGTGGATTCATGAAAGTTGTCAAGCCCTGCCAAAATGTAACAAATTTTCTATTTTACTGTGAGTAATTGGATGTAGTAAATGGACATTTCTGCACATAGTACTGTTTGGAGTTTGTGCTGTAAAATTATGCTCCTAGCTTAAGGTAAAATTGGGGAAAGTAAAAGTAGAGGACAGGATGCTAATCACCTACCACATCATGACACATATTACTGAGCTAATTACAACACACTGACTTACCCAGGTTTTAATCTAATGGTGCTAATGAAATACATGTATGCAATGTTCTGTACTTTAGGTCAGGAGTCAGGATAGCTCAGTCACTATAGGAATGGGATATGGGCTGAATGGCCTGGCTCTTATTCACAGCAGTGAAAGATTTTTCCTCTTCACAGTGGGACTGGGGCCTACCCAGCTTCCTTTCTACTGGGTACCGGGGGGATTTCCTTGGGGGTAAAGCTAATAACTTGCCTCCAAGTACAAAGGTCAAGAAGTATGGAGCTACTTCCATTCCCCATGTCTTGGTGCTTAATAGGACTTTGCCTTCCTTATTTGGTCCAAATTAATGTAATTAATTAATGAGCCAAATCTTGCCATTTATTTATATAATGGAGCTTGATTTGATGCAGAGCACTGTATTTGAAGGGAAACCTCTAATAATTTTCAGTTGGCCTTATGCAGACTTTTAAAGATGTTATGTTGTAAATGATAAAATGTAAACATTAATGGAATGACCTTTCTTGGTAGGACTCTGGGGAATATTATTAGTAAAGCAACCTGCAATAGCCCAGTGCTTAATAGCAGAGTGAAGATAGGCCTATCAGTAGAATGATGACCTACAGGATGGAGAGGCCAAGAACTGGAAGCAAGAGATTCTCTCTTCCCCACAGCATCCCAACATCCCTCGGGTTCCCCCAGCCTTGTATCCACCAGGTACTGGGTACTACTCGAGAGATAAAGTGGCAGAGCATGAAGTTGACTGCTTTTATTCATTCAATGCCAAGGTTAAGACTGAAGCTGTACCTCCACTCCCCCATACATCTGTATGACATGGTGCTTAATGGACCAGTACTGTGAAAGTGCATAATCCAAGGCAAATTAACAAGACTATATTGTTCATTGAATGAAATAAATTTTCCTTTAACTCTCAAGCCAATGATATAATATTCACTGACTGTATAACCATCAGAAGTACAGTACTTGTATTGGTTTAAAATTTCTTTGCTAGATGTCAGTTTAGTAATGTGTACCATGGGAGGCTGTGGTTCAGCAAGGAAAACTGTTATAACTTGAAATATTAAAATGAGTGAAAATACCCTGTGCATGCTTGGTGATTCAGGTCGGTTTCATAACACCATATACATGCTCTTATGGGACAAGAATATTGTTAACGTGTTTCGTTACTGAAGACGCCGTAGAGATTGTTAATTGGTTTATTCAACAACCTACAAGTAATGGCTACAATTAATTATAACACAGTTGCGGGGTTTCACACTTTATAACCCTATACGCAATAATCTGTTTACACTGTTTTCAAGAGTCTTCACGTATTAATAACGCAGGAGCTATACAAGTCTCTCTGATTACACACTCCAAATATACCTGTACTACACAGCACACACAAAGTCTTGAAAGCACACAATAAGTCTTCCACTCGCTGACTTCTTAGTTGTCGCACACTGTCACATAAAATCTTGTAACCACGCGTTCGGGTCTTCTTACCGCGACTGCTGCTATATTTCAACTCAACTCGTAGGCTGCTGCCTTGAGAACTGTTGATCACACACTCACTGTCTTCGGTGGCTGCCATATTTCACGGCGCCACTCCTTAACACACACTAACTCGTTCGCTGCTGACTGGAGAACACACTTCGGCGGCTGATATGCTTTAGACTAACTGCGACAACTGAACTTGGCGAAGGCCACATTTCAACTCGTAGGCTGCTGCCTTGAGAACTGTTGATCACACACTGACTGTCGCTTGCTGCTCAGCCGGCTTTTATTCCGTTCGCTGTTGCCTGTGTCAACAGTGGCGTTGTGTTGCAGTGTCGCATCACCGCGCGGAGGAGGGTAACGGAGCGCTGACTCACCTGCCACGTCACTGCTGGGGGGGGGAGGGGTTGTCCTCCATTGCGCAACATGTCACAATATGTTAAAATATGGCACATATACTATTCACACTTCCTTTTAAGCATTTTCCCCAGTAACTATTCCATAATCCATTCTCCAAACATATGCATTTGAAAATATGAATATGGAACAGAATTTTCACAAGCCATAAAATGGTCTGAGTAAAACATGGGTCACACTCAGGCCATGTTATCTAAAAAAACCGCTCAACACTTAAAATGTTTGAGGCGTTGGGGTCACCAATGTGGGATGTCATTATGCGAAGAGACAACCAGTCGTTGAACTGTTCTATAATATNAAGACTGCTTTCTTCATAGTCACCGCCGTGAAAGCCTCAAATCTTACAAGTGGTTCTCTCTTCATATGATGACATCCCACAGAGGCATAGGCATTAGACTAACCATGTGCACTGGCTTCTACTGTTCTTTTAATGTTTTATACAGACCAGAAAAGAATCCTGAATAAAGACAGAAATTAAATGGACATATTCTGATGTACAGCACTGCCAACTGTGTTTATACAAATACTGGATGTGAAGTTATCATTACACTGTAAAATATTATAAATGCACCACAAATTTGGCATGTACAGTTAAAATACTGTAATAGTTAACAATCAGTGCTTGAGGTGGAATGAAAATAGAACCGGGATGGTTTTCCCCTTTTAATTCATAGACATAAAAAGGTATTGTACATTGCATTTACTGCCAAAGAAGTAACGGGATGCTTTTAAGCCATTTAGAAAAGAACCGGGATGCCATCCCGCCCCACCTCAAGCCCTGGTTACAATATTATGCACAGAAGTACGAGTATTACAGTTTTTGGCACAATAAATAACTTTAAAAGATATAATATATACAACATATATGAGTTGGTTTTCATAATATATCGCTGTAAAATATTTTGAAGGGGTGAGACATAATCCTACATTGCAATCAGTACATGGGTAGGATATTCTTCCTTATTAGAGTATACAATGCATCACCTCTGCACTGACGTTGTACAACGGTCTTCAGAAACTGCCATAATGCAATGGAAGGATAATTTCTTCTGCCATTTCACTGTCTTATGCTGCAATGTCCCATGACAATCGCTGGTCAGAGATCTACTATTACTTTGTCTTTATTATAATCAAAATCATCCAGTGGTTTCATCTTTCCCTTCCTCTGCTCGAGTCTTTTCGATCCGAGCAGTGTGTCTGCTGCTTAGGATGCGCACACCCCTCTTGTCTCTCCACTGCAAGATAAGAATACTTCCTTTTGGGGCCATTTACTTGATTCAGTGTTGTACCTATAAGGCTAGTGCTTGCTGTTGCCATTTCTTCAGCAAGTGAAACACTGATATAGAAACTCTGGCCATTGTTGGTTGGCTGACCTAGAAACTCCTATATTACTCCAACAGCACTGTTATTCAGTTCAGGATCCTTCCGATGGCACATCTAAAATTCCCTGTGTACCCAGTCCTTGGTTCAGTGAGAAGGGATACCTTCATGCCATTCTTGCTGGGCTTCTAAAGCATGTAAACTCTGAAGCTAACCTTCTTCATTGATAGTTGCTGATTCATTATGGTAATCTGTTACCTTCTGAAGCAAAGGTCTAATTTTGAAATAACTTGTAAGCTGTTTTCACCTGCCTTCTTCTGTTGGCTATTATTGTTCATGTGAAACATTGACAATATTAATGTCATGAAACAGCACACGTGGACACAAATTCCAAGTTAGTACAGGATCTTTACTCCAGTGGCTTTCAGTGTTTGGTCTTTGGTTGGCACAAATGTGTTCTGGGATTGTTGATGTTCTAAATGACAACCACATGAAACTGTAACAGTTGTATTTTAGAAATTGTATAAACTGAATTTACAGAATAGCAGAATACAGAATATATGTGAAATGTTCAAAAGTTGGCTGGCCCTCTAAGGGCAGTTCGTTCCCCCACGAGTGTGCTGGCAGATTTCGCTCCTCTGTAGTAGGTGGAGTCTTACGGCCATTCAGCTGGCCTGTCTTGATGGTGATGTAGTGCTGCGCGCGCTGGTAGAAATGGCTGCCTCGGCTGGTTGCTGGAGTTGCGGAAGCTCTGTTCGCTGGAGACTTGCGGCTACTACTTCGGTTGCCTGGTTGCTAGAGGCTTGCGGCTACTGCTAGAGGGCCAGCCAACTTTTGAACATTCCACATATATTCTGTATTCTGCTATTCTGTAAATTCAGTTTATACAATTTAATATGTACAATTGTTACAGTTTCATGTGGTTGTCATTTAGAACACTGACAATCCCACATTGGTGACCCTGACGTGATGATCTGCAAGTGGGTTGGACATCGAGTTCTGTATAAATATGAGCGTCGCCAGCAATGTGATATTCTCTTAGGAGTGAGTGTTGTCTGAAAGACCGGCGAAACAGCGTGCTATGTGGGATGTTGCCACAATGTAAAAGAAAAGTTTTTTCATTTCTAATCATCACAGTTGACTATAGTCTAAATTCAGAGCTTGGGCTCAACTTATTGTTGTCCTCAGGTACTTTTTGTCTGGCATGTTCTTTCATTTTTTTCAGTTGTTTTGGTATCAATAAAATGCAAAAGGAAATATTATGGTTCGGATGACTCATCCAAGCCGACTCCCTGCTTCATTCCATGGGAACCAGAATATACTGCAGTGTCACAGTCATGATCTGCATCAGTCTGCTGAGTCATTAACCCCTGCTGTCCTGGCTGTGTTTTGTGGTCATTGGGTGGAAGCCTTATCTTTGAGAATTTCATTGAATGATCCTAATTGTCTGAAATAATGGAAATACAATCATTTTGAACCACTGTTCACACACAACAAAGGGCAATGAGGACAATTTTATTTGTGAAAAAGATGTTGCTTGCCTGTATTTGTCTCATTTGCAGAAGCACGATCGTTTTGTTGATATTGGAAACAGCATTTATAAGAATATCACCCTCACTACATTTGCCTGGAACATCTTCAGTAATTCTTCTCGGGCATTATCCTTCTGTACTTTGCACCATGATAACAAAGCAAAAACAAAGTAATCACACTATAAACGGCTGCTATGACATGGCAGCTCAGAAAATAAAACTTATTTCACCAATATTTTACAATTACTGGGAGGTACTATCATCTAGTGGAAAACAAATGAATTGCAAGACGTACAAGAACCATATTTGATCATGTGAAGCACAAACTTTGTGAGATTTGTAGCAACATAATATTACTGTGGTCACATTTTGCCCCAGCCCCACATAGTAATATTAATGTAGTTGTGCTGTTAAGTGTTAAATGTGGGAATTCCTGCAAAGGTAGAGGAAATAAGATGCCACATGTCACATAACTGTATATTATTTTCATAGAAAATAATTTAATAATTACAAATTCAGGCAAATCCAATCACGCAATCTTCTCAAAATAGAAATTCTGTCACTATAAACACACATTCACCCAAAACACAAGAATCTGATGGAAAGAAAACTGAACAAGTATATTAACCACAGATACTCCTGTTATCCTTGTAAAACTGTTCACCAAACCATTCTTGGTGTTCCTCCATGTAACTGAAACAAGGAAAAAGAATTAGATTTGGTAGACATTATATTCTCATAGGTCAAGTTAAATTTAAACAACCCAATTAATGATTCAAGTGCACCAAACAATGTCAACTGCAGCCACCAGTTGCTTTCAAGAATAATATCACGATGTCAGAATTAGCCAGATTTAAGGTACTGTTAAGTGTAGTTCCACTCTTGGGACTTCTCTTTCTGCATACCCAAGTAATAATATATAAAATGTATTAAACTGAATGCACTGACAATACAGGAGAGTTGAAAATTATATAAGAGCTCCCTTATATGATCATACACTAATTATTCCTTGTATGAAGAACACATGTTCTGTGTAGGAAGCTTCAAAGCACTGTTACTATGCATGTCTAGGGATTTTTAAAATATTATGGTGTACAGATCCATTACTGCTGTTTGAAACTGAAGAGTACAGCTGTTGCTATGCAACAGGAAGATAAACAAACATCCATTTCTAAGCAACGGCTCAGTAAACAAGTTCCTGAGGAAATGATATCCAGTCTATCACTAGGCAATGCCTATGATAACAACAGAAGGATTATTGGAGGCACCGTTTTCTGCTGGGTCCACCCTGAGGTTATACGACGAGAACACCACCTGAGATACAGAGAGTTGTCAGCAGTTCAGCTGAGTGAAGTGTTGTGAAGTAGTTGGTGAGTGAGTTGAAAGTCGAAAGTCAGCCTGTGAAGAGAATATTAGGAGATTGGCGTAAAATGGCTGCCAGCCTGGGAGGTAGTTGAGTTGTTTGCTGATGAGTTCTGCATGGGCGGCTGTGATGAGGACCTGAGTGTGGGAATCTGAAGAACCTCCATTAGTAGAAGCTGTTCCCAGGAAATGGCTGGTGGAGACAGTAACAGACTGATGACACTAGCGTGTGTCGCTGATCTGTAAAGTGTAGTTTCAAGTGGTGTATACAAGTGGTCAATCAATCCAATATCCAATCCATACCCCATCTATAGTCACATAACACCAAAACGTGACAATACTGTAGCAAAAAAATGAATAAAATTATCTGCTTCCTCATACTATAACACGGTTGTATTTTACATGCAGAACACACTTTTTGTGTTGCACCCCATAATGCACTGTCATTACACAAGTTTTGGGGTTTCCGACATATTGTCATCAATCAAACAAGATTTACATTTCCTCCAGTTTTTAGCTTTATAAAACAGTAATGCAGACTGTCCAATGTGTTTCCAAATTTAATATTGCCAACCAAATTTCATAAGGGTCAACAATACCAAGTTATAATTTTTGCAATTTGTATAGGCAGATGGTGACTACCAGAACCTTTGTTTACTCACCCTAGAAACATGTCCAGGTGACGCAGAAGAACTTTCAATTTCCTTTCTGGCATGTTTGTGGCATAGAGCAGATCCGGCAACTTAACTACAAACAAAATTCACACTGTTATTAGGCTACCCAAGCTCTGCTGCTTCCTTCTGAGTCATGAGAATGAATGTCTAAACATTTCAGTTTCCTGAAATCTGACTGTACTTCTTTACTAAACCATCACATTCTCTTGAGGCAAAACCTTGATCACTTGTACAGAGACAAGCTTCTACCTCTAGCTGTAACACAATCAACTGAATTTGGCATCCCTTAGTCTTCAACTATCTCATAGACAGACTGCAGTGGAAACAGTCAAACACTTTAGACATGGCAACATGGGTAAATTATCAGTGGCTGCGCCACAGCTCAAGCGGTTTAAAAAAAGTAGTTGGCTTCCCACCATGGTGGCCCAGGTTCGATCCTGGGTCTGGTCAAGTGGGGTTTGTGGTGGACAAAGTGGTGCTGGGGCGGGTTTTCTCCGAGTACTGCCAATCTTCATTCCACCAAATTCTCCATCATCATAATCACCCGAGGCAGGGACAATAGGCCAATCAGTGGCTGCCGTGCCGAGTGGACCCAGTTGGACTCCACCCCCCAATAAGCAAATTTAATTTTTTTTAATTGAATGGGTAAATTAACTCGTCAACTAAGCAAAGATTGTATTTATATTCCAGATTATTGAAGTCACAGCTGAGATGTTAATTGGGCTCTATATTCAGGTGGTCCAGGTTCAATTCTCAGCCTGAATATTGGCTCTCCTACAGGCTTTTCAAGGTTTCCAAACAAATGTCATGACACTAACTTACAATAGGCAAATGACTGCTTCCTTCCATATCCTTTTCAATTAATATTCTTTAACCAACCTAAAACTGACACTATATAATCTAAGCTGTTGAAAGCACTATTAAATAAACCATAACAAATAAAACCATTCCAAATTTTCATAATGCAGAACATTATACTTGTCTGTTTCAGTGTCAGCTCACCTGACCCAGCAGTTGTAAGAATTATAGGGTTTCAATTGCTGAAGGTGGTGGCTGAATGTTAGTCTCCTGGGATGTGTCAGTAACAATCTAACCACAAGTCAGTAATCTCCAGATGTAACATTAGTTTGTATAATGAAAACCATGACTATAAATTTAAGTTACACTAAATACATCATGTGATGCTTAAGATCTTAGTAAAATTGTCAAGAAGTTAGAAGTACTTCATTTCAAGTAGATGCATTCTCACTAAAACAAGATTAATGCAATTTATTTGCAGAACAAACAATTTCACAAGTTATTTGAGTCACCAAATGCACCAAAATTCACAAGAAATTCAAGGTATGAAAGTCACAGGAAAAAGCTGAGGTGGATTATGTCAGACCTGGCTGCATAACAGTACCACGCTGTCAAACTAGTACCAGTTAATAGCTCACTGGTCATCAGTCATCAATGGTGTAAACTGAAACATGTCACACACTAAGCTGCAACTCTTCAGTTGACATGTAGCTTGAAACAGAGCACTTGTACGCAATGATATGTTCATGTAGTGCTCATTTGACTCAGAAAGAACAGAAATTGGCGGGTAAGCCATAACATGTTTACTCAGATCCATTAATGACAGAAAAGTACGTTATGGTGGAAATTCTGAAGATATGGTCTACTAAAACTGAACATTGCTACTGTACAAACAAAACAAAAAAACAAACTCTGTGTCTTAGCCTGCAAGCGAACTATACTAACTGAGCGACCGCTGCTTGTTGGTGAAGTTAGTGCCAACTTTAGTGGATAGAGGGTGTCGCGTGGTCAGTGCAACAAATCCCCATGGCCATTAATTTCAGTTTTCTAGACCGGAGCAGCTATATCCTTGAAACAGCTCCTCAATGATCCTCACGAGGCTGAGTGGACCCCGTTTCAGACCCACTACTTCTCAGAAAATCTGGTAGTGCCGGGAAGCGAACCCAGACCTCTGGATCTGTAGCCAGGAACTCTAACCACTAGACCACAGAGGCAGTCCAAATAATGCTATGCTTAACATAATTAAATGAACAGTGCATATGAAAATGCATGCTAAAATTAACTCATTACACACCACATTAGTCACTACGGACCTCTACTGTATCATCTTCCTCAATTCTTAAACCTCTGAGAATAAAAATTACTAATACACATACCAAATAGCCTTGCCAGATGTATGGCTCCATACATAAGCGATGGAGCTACAGGTACTTCCGAGTATAGGCTCTGAGGAACTAGTTGCCAAGCCAGAATTTGAGACAGTAGTGTTGTGTGCTTTGGGGATGAGGATGCTACTGAATTGGCAACTGCAGATTGAGCAATGCTACCAGCAGCAGCAAAAGGTGGCAAGCTGGTAGTGGGGGTCGAGCATCGAGAACTTGTACTGGCGATACTGTAATAATAATCAGAAGAATTTTTATTATTCTCTGTATTCGTTTTTAACAAATTATCCATAAAGAAAATATCGTCACAGATACATCTCAGATTCTGTCACTGTTAATGGATAAAAGGATTATGCAGCATATTGTCACCTGTACTTTATTTCCGTACATTAATTAAATCACTATTACTATTACAAGTAGGAATGGATCATTTACGAGTATATATCAGGTTCAGAATAACCAGTAATAAAATGCATACATACAGAAAATGATCACATTCAACTACGGCCACTCAGATCTGATTTAAATCAGTTAATGTGAAACTTATCATATAAAGGTGTCCAGGCATAAATTTCAGACATCCTTCCGTGATACACTGACCTTGATACATGTGTGTTATATGGCTCCTGCTTGATAGTGCCCAAAGAGAACTGATGTCCTTCCTGTTTTATGTTGTTCACATGAAAATGACTATTTTCGTGGCAATTAGTACCATGGTTCGGAGTTCGAGCATTCAGTTTACTAATGCCATTGGCATCAGATGAAACACCCTCACTTGCATCTGGCCGGTGAGAACGCAGACTTCTCTTCCTGTCACCTTCCCCTATTTTGATAAAGTATACAGATAAGAAACTAGCACTATCTTCTTGATATTATTTTCAAAGATTCCAGTCTTACACTCTCTTCTCACATTCACACTGAAAAAAAAAAGTCCAATGCAGCACTGAATATACAGTGTTCTTCTTCAGCCAGCAGTTTTACTGCATGAAAATTGGTAAAAGTAAAGTAAAGCTATCCCTGCAACAGGCCATGAAGGCCCATAGGGTTGTGAGACGTTGAAGGTCCCACATTATCTAGACAATTGCCTCAAAGATGGTAGTAAGGTTGTCAGCTTTACGCGCCGGGCGTGCTTTACTCCCAGGAAAATTATTTAATTAATTGCTGGTACTCATTTCTGTTAGAGGCTGAGTTGACCCCAGGGCCATAGTGCAGCTGGAAGGATTAGATCAACTGAAAAAATCCAATGACCTCATCGGGACTTGAACTTGTGACCTTCTGGCTTGTAGCATAGTGCCTCAACCAACTACGCTACCGCCCCTGCATCAAAATTGGTATCACCCATTTTTCTAACAATAAGGAGCCAGAGATCTCAGTGACGATAAAGCTTAAAAGATTGTAATGGGCTGGGCATGTACAGAGAATGGATAAGGAGTGTATCCCAAAGAAAATATTATCCAGTACAATAGGTGATAGGAGACATGCGGGGAAACCAAGAACTAGATGGATTGATGTGGTGGAAGAAGATGCAAAGAAGTTAATGGGCGTAGGGAACTGGAAGAGAGCAGTGCAGGATAGAGAGGAATGGAGGGGCTTGATAAGGGAGGCCAAGGCCTGAGATCGGGCTGTTGCGCCATAGAAGAATAATTTTTCTAACAATAATAAAACAGCAAATCTGGAGTTACAGTGTTAATCTGAAAAATAACCTCAAGATGTCTTTGCTTTGGGGTATCAGCATTAGGGCTGTCACGACCAATTCTTTATTTACTAATTATTCTTTCATTAACTAATCAGTCACACTGCATTACCATGTATCATCAATTTCTACACTTCAGAAAGCATGTTCTACAGTATTATATTAATTGCTGGTTCTGTTCTGCTCACATTTTGCATATCTCCTGCTGTCTTTATTACCAAGGACTTACATGCCTCTCTAAGTTATAAAACTATAATGGTGGCTGGAAAGTCAGACACAAAACCACAACATACCAGCACTGCCTTTCTGTCATCCACAATCAGTACAACTGCATCTGTAGAATACTAGAACAACATATCATGTAAGGTTATGAGACCAGCAAAGTACAACCTACATTCCAGATGTGTTGGATCTACAATCCTAAAGGTAGAGAAATTGGTTTATGATGGGACACTGCACAAGACAGCGCCAAAAAGACCTCCAGACAGCCAAGCTGCACTTAAAGCGCTTGACAAACACCAGATCAACTCAAAATTGGTCTGGGATTGCCACCAAACCCTCATGGAACTGGCCAAGGGTACAACTGATATGGGTGCCGGGGCATGGGGGTATTGCTGGAAACGAAACAGCAGATCAATTGGCTAAGACTGGAGCTGAACATCTGTTCATAGGACCTGAACCAGCCTGTGGCATCTCTATAGGAGTAGCCAGAAAGGCAATCATGGACTGGACAAATATGAAGCACAAGAAATACTGGGGATCCTTCACTGGACTCAGGCAAGCAAAGGGATTCATACAAGGACCCTCTGCTAAAAGAGCGAAAGAACTGTTGAAGTTCTGGAACCAGCTACGATGGGTGGTAAAACTACTTACAGGGCACTGTCACCTTAAAGGACACCTCTTCAAACTGGGACTAAGTAATAGTCCCACTTGTGAGAGGTGTCAAGTAGAAAATGAAACAGCCACACATATCCTGTGTGAATGTGAGGCCTTAGCTTATTTAAGATTACATCACTTGGGTCAATACTTTATGGAACCAAGTGACTATTTTGATGCCCCCACATACAAAATCCTGAGCTTCATTTGAAGCGCAGGATTGCTGAGGGCATAATCAAAAGGGGAAGCGCAACAGATCACTGTAAGTTGCGGTGCAAGGGCTGAGTACATTCATTCAATTCATTCATACGTGCTCCAGTTACCATGTCCGTTTCACCGCACATTTCAACATCTGAGCAACAATCTCTGAGGGGGGGGGGTTCTGGGAGCCTACCACAATGCATCTCCGGGCCAACTACCAACTTCTCGATGGCCAGCACAGCAAAGCAAGTGGTAGCCAATCAGTGTGGACCATGGCAGTGCCAGCAACAGCAGATAAAGATGTTGACCCCATTGCATTAGTCAGTTGGAGCTATGCTTGCTTAGCAACAGCATCTGGAGCTCACAAGGCAATAGCGACCCTCTTAGCAGCAACGCTGATTCTGAAAGCAGTCACCTCAACCCTTTGGAAGCCCTCTGCCAGCACTTGCTGTCTACCGCTGGCTTGCAGTCACCTGGCTACCAAATATGGAGGACCACTGGCACTCACACAAGCCAGCCCGATGCAGCCAGAGCTTCTCCTGGCATTCATCATGAATTTATGTGGTTGTCTCTCCAAATACTGGAAGCAATATCCCACACAACAATACAGCCCAGCTGTACCACTCTACACAGTGTCAACACCTGAAAATATATATGCAAAGACAATTCACATACTTTCTTACACAAGTGATCATATTGCCTTGAAATGAAAATGACTGTTGCTCAGTATACCACTGGTGGTTACTGAAGAGTGAACAACAGTGATATCTGTCCAACTAATTAAGCTGGTTTTGACAATATTGCCATTTTGTGTTTGGTCTCCTAGTGTGCATGCTGTTACTTTCATGAAGATATCACAGTGCAGTTTTATTTAGGGATATGGTCTCCATACACTACAGAAATTTAATGAAAATAATCACAGTTACTTTAAAAAAAATCACCAATTTGTTTTTGGGGGCTCATCTGATAGGCCCGTGTTTAGACCTAGACTGTTCACTCACTGGGCACTGATTTTCGATACAGACTGGCTCTCAAATACCAAATACAAAATCCATTTGAATGTCTGGGCGCTAATGAGGTGCACATCTATACCTACAGACAGAAGCAATTCCAGGAAACACTTTTTTGTATTCAGGAGTGCTCAAAATGTGTATATCCATCAAAATCTTAGGACTGTTTCTTTTCACCATCATACTACACACTACATATATGAGAAAGTAAAAATAATGAACATCTGCATTAAACTGCTGTGAAAGCCTGAACTCATCTACAAAGTCAACATTAATCATCTGGATACACTAGCAAACTGTTTTCCTATATCTATACCTAAGGCATCTCCATTATCCAATCCATGTTCTTCTCCTCCTGCCACATGCATCATGCTGCCACTACAGAAGCGGGTCTGTCCTTCTGTTTCCATTTCTGTGTCCTGGCCGGGCAGTGAGAGAGCATCGTCTTCCTCCTCCTTCACAACAACATTATTGAGTTCACCATCATAAATCCTGAAACAATGGCACTCTCCATTCTAGCATTTCCTCTGATTTCACAAAAGCATTGCACTATACATCTTTTGTCTTAACATCCTTTTCACTTGTCTTCCACATAGAATTTTATTACTATGCTGTTCAAATATTGAAATAAAATTCATGAAATATTAATATTTTCAATTCAATCAATGTATTTTCAATACATTTTCAGTTAATGTATAAAGCAGAACTGCACCAAAATCAAATATACTATATACACTAAATGAAAATATTTGTAGACTTCAAGAAAGCCTATGATTCAGTTCGGAGGGAAGTACTGTATTATGTTCTCCTAGTTTGGGATAACCTTGAAACTAGTTAGTCTTGATTAAAATGTGTTTAAATGAAATGTACAGTAAAGTCTTATAGGTAAACATTTGTCTCAAAATTTTCCTATCCAGAATGATCAAAAACAAGGAGATGCTTTATCACCACTGCTTTTCAACTATGCTTTAGGATATGTCATTTGAAAGGTCTAGGAAGACCAGATGGGACTGAAATTAAATGGGACACAATAGCTACTGATCTATGCTGATGATGTGAATCTACTGGGCGATAACATAAATACCATAAAGAAAAACACTGAAACTTCAATTCATGCTAGCAGAGAGGTTAGTATAGAAGTAAACAGAGGGAAATTTAAGTATATGTTGCTGTCTCATCACCACAATGCAGGGTAAGATTATGACATAAAGATAACTAACAAATGCTTTAAAATGTGGCACAGTTCAAATATTTGGGAATGACAGTAACAAATAAAAATTTGATTTGGTGGAAAATTAAGAAGAGACTAAATTCAGGTAATGCTTGCTACCATTCAGTCCAGAGATGTTTGTCTTCCCATCTGCTGTCAAAAAACATAAAAATTAGAGTATACAAAACTATAATTTTGTCTGTGGTTCTCTACGGGTGTGAATCTTGGTTTTGAATTGAATTGAATTTATTTACATTCTATAAATCCTAAGTAGGTTAGTACCTTTGGATACAGAACAAGTCAAAAGGTTACATACATAAGTACAGGCAATTTTAGCTTAAAAATTAATATAACTTAATTTTACATCATTCTCTATTTACATTGAAGTATTCATCTAAAGAGTAGAAGGAATGAGCATGTAGATAATTCTTTAACTCTGATTTAAACTTTTTAGTATCATTGCCCAAGTTTTTAATACTTTGTGGCAGATTGTTGAACACTTTTATGCCAGTAAAGTAGACTCCTTTTTGATATACTGATAAAGTTGATGAGGGTAGGTGGAAGTTATATTTTTGTCTAGTATTCATGTTATAGACATCAGAATTTAATTTGAATTTATCTTTGTTGTAAACAACAAATAAGAGAAGCAATAATATGTATTGCGATTGAAGAGGTAGAATTTTTAATTTCTTAAATAATTCTCTACATGAATCTCTACTTCTACATCCTGTAATGATTCTAATTATATTCTTTTGTATTTTAAAAATTATTACACTATGTGAAGAGTTCCCCCAAAATATTAATCCATAGTTCATAATAGAATGAAAGTAGGCATGGTAAACCATCTTCAATGTTTCCTGTGACATAAAAGGCTTAATTGATCTCATCGCATAGCAAGCTGCATTTAATTTAGGTATAATTTGTTCAATATGTATTTTCCAACACAGTGTACTGTCTACATGTTGCTGACATTGAGGGAGGAACAAAGACTGAGGGTGCTTGAGAACAGGGTGTTGAGGAGAATATTTGGATCGAAGAGAGGCAAAACCAGGGTATGTAGCATGAATGGGGGAGAAGAGGATAGCATATAAGACAGTGGTGGGAAAGCCAGAAGGAAAGAACCCACTAGGAAGACCAAGACACAGGTGAGTGGATAAAATTAAAATGGATCTTAGAGGGATAGAATAGGGTGGTATGGACTGGACTGATCTGGCTCAGGATAGGGGACAGTGGAGGGCACTTGTGAACATGCAAATGAACCCTAGGGTTCCACAAAATGTTGGTAAGTTCCTGAGTAGCAGTATAACTGGTGGCTGCTCAAGAAAGGCTCAAGTCCATTTAGTTAGTTAGTTAGTTAGTACACAGTATACAATTCTGAGAATTGAGGTTCTCATGGCAGTATCTGAGATGTAATACCACATGGTTTAGTAGACAGAGACGGTTTGGAGGAATCTGCTGCCTCCATCTTCAGGGTAGAAACACAACCAAGAACACTATAATCATAGTGCAGGATTATCTGACAATATCATAAAGTCAAAGAATTATTATTATAGGTTTGATTTATGTTGATAGCATTATTATTATAATTATTATTATTACTATTATTATTATTATTATTACTATTATTGTATGCTGCTCTATTTGAAACTCAAATTCTCACATTGTGGCTTTGTCTGTGTATGTTTGCTTCTGTATCTTATTCATGCTGTGTAATTAATATAGACTACAATTTTTGTATTTTGTTTTTTTAATTATTTTTGTGTATTTCTCTGTTCGTGCTAGCTTTGTAATTGGCCTCTGTGCTGTTAAGTTTGCACGTAAATAAACATGAACTGAATTATTATTATTATTATTGTTGTCAGCTTCATAGTTTTGATGAATACACTACATTCAAAGGCTTGTACTAAAATCCACCATAAAAATGCAGCCAAAATGGTAATGAAGTATGGATGAAAAGTATGTAAGACAGGTGGACAGTTGATGTGGTTATGGCATAATAATACAAATCGCCAGATGAAATATAAATAAATGTAACAAAGTGACAGACTCACTCTATTTCTTGTTTGATTGTCGGCTCTGCTTGCTGATTTCTAAGCTGCTCAAACTGTTCTCGCTCTTGGTTATACAGTAACAAGTCACTGAGTGTGAAGTCAAAGTAGATGCGTACACCATCAACAACCTCCTTGCATATATTTAAACTGGAACAAGTTTGTGGAAATACATAATAAAATAAAGTGCCTGTACATTAAAAGCAATGTACATACATATGAGAATAAGAGATACACACTCATTTCTGTCAGACATATATTGTTAACGTTGCAAGAATTTACCACATAATACTCTTCAGTTCTCTTGTACATGTTCACATATTCATCCTTTTCCCACTTCTATTCTGCGGTATTAACGTTGTGGCAATCTTCACTCATATTTTTATACATGGAAAGATCTACTTGAGCTTCTGCTAGGAGCACTTTTATACAGCTTCATCACTGCCTATTAACTATCACTTGCAAATGGCTACATTACCATTACAGCAACTAATAAGTGTTGTGTTTGGCGAGCTCATTAAAGCAATGATGGTTCACACCGTCAGGGAATAATGACCATGATACATGCAACTTTGAAACCTTAAACAAGTGTCAAAATGATCACTAACATGGACCGTCTCACCGACTTCTGGAAAAAATTCACACTTGAACAAAAATAATGAAATATACAAAATATTCATACTAATTTAAAATGATTTTTAAAGGAATTTATTCTATCCTGAAAACTAAGGTAAAGGTAAAAAGATAAAGCAGTCCCTGTGCTTAATTAATTAAGCACTATGCCATGAACACACATGGAGAGTGGAGGTAAAGCTGCACCATTCTTGACCTCAGCAGCAGACTGAAGGGAGTGGTCACCCTTATACCATGGTGCTTAACCCCTAGTGCCCATTGGATAGGATGCAGGGTGGGCCCCAGAGCCAGTCTGGATACCACAAAGAAAAGGAAAATCTTGTCCCAGCCTGGACTGAAACTCTGGATATCCAGCCTGCAGCCCATCACTATACCCACCTGTTAAATAGCTTAAATGTAAGTTTATAAGGTAATAACCGCCTCCCCACAAAACGCTGAGAGTGCCCATGGTTGTTAACCGAAAATATCCCTATCATAATGCAATATCTTAACCATAACAATTATAGACATGAAGGCCTCATACACTGCCGCATTCTTCTTGGGTTAAATTATCTAGCTAAGATGCAGCGCGTCTTTACCTGCGACAAGCTCTCTCCAGATCTCTGCTCTTATTATTTTGGTAGTGGTGATAACGATACCGACGTTGTGGTTTCTCCCCTATTCCACACAACTGATTTACAGCACAGTTCTTTACGTAGCCTTCAAGAATTGTTACTACATTGGGATCAGCTGGAAGCTTCAAAACCTGTAATAATATAAGGGTCTCATAAGAGACTGTCCGCTAAAACATCCTGAATACATTATAGAGCCACTGTTTGTTTGATGGTATGTTGTCTTTCAGTAAGGAACCTTGTGAACAGCTAAGTGTTTTCACGTGGAATGCTACTCAGCTAAAGTTTTCATGGTTTCTGAGTCAAACATTCTGCAAAATTTGCAGAACACTGTACTGGCAACTCTCATCAAGTCTTTAAAATATCTGTAGACAGTGCTCTTGGGCAGCAAGTTAACAAAATCCATAAACCTTTCTACATATGTCTAGATTCACAGCATAAATGACAAGCCTACAAGCCAACAAATCACAAACAAAACACACCCAAAATCAGAGCAGATGGTGGAAATGGTCCTGTTTTAATGCATGCATTCTAGGCACCTTCATAAGTTGTTCACATTCATATGATACAATTCATTTCAGAAAAAGAGCAAACTTAAAATATGAAACCTGAAACTCTCATCTCCTGTGCAAGGCACCTAAGGGATTTCTGAGCAGAATGTTCAAGCACAGCACTGATATCATTCAAATTCTCTTCAGTAAGCATTTAGAATTTTGATCCATTCTCTTTTGTCCATTAATACTGTGTCTAAATTTAATTGTGACTTTATTAACAGCTCTCTCCATTTTGAGTTATAACACCCTGAAATTTATGCCAGAATCTTCTCCTACTTTTCACTTAAGTATCATACATGAACACTTATTTCAACTTGTATTTTCACGTGGCATTTTGACATAATAAGAAGTGTGACTAACTCAATGCTTAATTCAGGATCATTGGCTTGGAGTTATGAATAACAAGCATACGACACAAAAGCTTACTTCATGGTAACTGTTCAAGAATTTAGTGGGGTGATATTGAAGGGAAATCATAATATATATTGGCTATTGGCCAAATGACCATGTGTTCTGCATGCTGACACAAGCAGCATGTGTACCTCCCACTGCACTCACAAAATGTTCTGTGGCAGGGCCCGTCTCAGATAATCTCCCTGTTCAAATAAGGGCAGTTTTATGGTATATACATATTCTTCCAGTCTCTAGGTAACACCAGATAACTGTCTGACTCTACAGAGTACTTTTAGAGATTCTGATAGGTACTTAGAAGACTGCAAAATTCCCTGGCCTTTATTAAACCTAAATATTCACCACCATGTTTACAAAAGCCTGTCACAGGATCCAATCCTGATTCTAATAAATCCAAGCCACACTATCACAGCTCATTTCTGCAAAACCCATTACAATATAATCTCTCATTTAGGCCTACATCTTCCAAATCTCATTTTATTCTCCTTGAATTAATCAATTTCACAACCAGTGAAAAATAAAAATTATGAGGCACCTCATTATGCAAACGATGATGACAGTGTCAACATAATTTTCTTGAGTTGAAATAGGAGTAAGTCAGTAAATAGGTAAGAGATGGAAATAAAACAGCTGTAATGGACATAATAGGTTTTCTATGCATGTCATTCGGTAGCACAGTCCGGCTTCATGACAGTGTACGTAGCAGAAAGGCATGCATGTTCAGAGGCTAGTTTCAGCAGGCAAAATGCAGACTGTGCTTGAGGGTGTACTACCAAAGAGCAGAATTCTGTTGTGCGCTTTTTGTGGGCAAAAGCACTCAATGCAAAGGATATTCACAAAGAAATGCTGCCTGTTTATGGATGGATGTGTTTGTCACATACAGCAGTTCACAACTGGATTGAGAAATTCTCTCAAAGACATTTGAGAGTTGCAGATAATGCCCGATGAGGTTGCCCTATTGAGACTGCGACAGAAGCAACTGTGCAGTGGGTGAAAAAGTTGATTCAAGCTGACAGGAGGATAACAATAGACATTGTAGCAACTGTACTAGGGTGTTCTCACGGTTTAGCATACAGCATAATGTATGATCATTTGAAGTTTTGGAAAGTGTGCACATGGTGGGTGTCCAGAGAACTGAAGGAGTGAGAAAAAATGAACTGAATGGGTCTGTCCTTGCAACATCTCTTATGGTATGGAGATGAAGGGGAAGATATGCTTAACAGGATTGTTACCGGGGACAAATCACGGGTACATTGCTACCAACCCAAAACAAAAGTGTGCTTCAGTGCAATGGAAACACCCCAGTTCACCATCAACCAAGTTTAAGGTTATGCCATCATCTGGGGATGTTATGCCTACTGTAGTACTGTTGGCCAATTTTCAGAAGTGTGCTGAAAATGTGAATTCTGCATTGTAATGTCAAGTTCTGTTGAAGCTTCAGGATGCAATTTGCAGAAAATGTCCAGGCCACCTGGCAAGAGGTGTATTGCTCCATCATGAGAATGCCAGACTCAACAGAGCCCAAGCAACCCAGGAAGGAACTCAAGAACATGGGTAACTTCTTAACATCCACCTTAGAGCCTGGACTTGGCCCACTGATTTCCTTCTGTTCAGTCCGCTAAAAAAACACCTTGGTGGCAAACATTTCACTGATGACGAGGAGGTTAAAATGGAGGTGCAGAAGTGACTGAGACAACAGTCAAAAGACTTCTATGCTGTGGGTTTTGACTCATTGTTGTGGCAATGGGATAAGTGCATCAATGTTGGTGGAGGATATGTCAAGAAATAAATGTATTTTCCAGGTTCCAGCATCACATGTTTTACGTTTTATATCCATTTGTGACCTATTTACCGACTCTCCCTTGTATATTCATATTTTTGAACTTCAGCTTTTGACATTTTACATCAATCCTATTTGCAGAATATGATACTAGAAGAAAGAAAATCAAGATATGAAGGAACAGTTTTTACACTGTAGTTACTATAGGATTCTGACGATGGTGTATAACACACTGATATGTTGGGTTTTTGGACTTTATCCTGCCCAAAGACCCTACAGCTAAGGTGGAGAGGAAAGTACAGAAACTCCTTTCTAAATATAAAACCACTCTTCCAACCAATCTTAAACACAGGCTGACTCCATATCACAGCAAACCTCCACATCTGTATGGTCTGCCCAAGATTCACAAAGCGGGTATTCCTCTGAGGCCTATAGTAAGTTCGATTGGTTCTCCTTGCTATGCACTGGCCGGCTTTCTCCATAAGATACTCAGTCCTTTTTCTGGTAAATCCGACTCTTTCGTTCAGAATTCCGCCCACTTTGTTCAGCTATTAAAGACTGTTAACCTTCAGTCTCAAGATACTCTTGTTAGCTTTGACGTTGTCAGTCTCTTCACCAATGTACCAGTCGACGAGGTCCTACGTATCATTGAAAACAAGCTACACGACGATGTCACACTGACGGAACGGTCTGTCTTGCAGATCGGAGCCATCATGGAGCTGCTGGAAGTCTGTTTGAAAACCACCTATTTTCAGGTTGACGACAAGTTCTTCCAACAGAAAGATGGCATGGCTATGGGAAATTCTCTCTCGCCCATCGTTAGCAACGTCTTCATGGAGCATTTTGAAAAACTAGCTCTTGACTCAGCTCCGTACAAACCATCGTTGTGGCTGCGATACGTGGATGACACTTTTGTAGTCTGGCCTCATGGTCCAGAGAGATTACAGACTTTCTTCGACCACCTCAACAGTTTAAGGCCTTCCATCTGCTTCACCATGGAAACTGAGTCTAACAATGCGATCTCATTTCTGGACGTTCTGGTCATCAGGGAAAAGACGGCACTAGCCACACAGGTCTACAGGAAACCCACCCACACTGGCCAATACCTCAACTTCAATTCTAACCATCCGCCGCATGTGAAAAGAGGCTTGATAAAAAGTCTCCACGACAGAGCCTCTACCATATGCCAAGATCGACGAGATTTTGTCAGAGAAATTAACAACGTGAGACACGATCTTCAGTTGAACGGTTATCCCAAAGGTTTTATTGACTCTGTCATTAATTCCAAGGGCAGTAGTCGTCCGAAGAAAGAGGAAAGCCCTCTGTGTTCTGTTTATATTCCATATGTGAAGGGTGTGTCTGAAAAGTTTAAACGGATAGGTAATCGATATAATATTAGGACCATCTTCCGTACGAAACACACACTTAGGAACTCCCTTATGAAAACTAGACCGAAAAGAGATCCGCAACAGAGGGCACAGTGCGTCTATAGCATTCCCTGTGAATGTGGCAGAAGCTACATTGGCGAAACAGGCAGACCTCTGGCCGTGCGGCTCCGGGAACATAGGCATAACCTAAAAGAAGGTCTTCTAGAAAAATCTAAACTAGCCCAACATGCCTATGAAGAGGGACATAGGGTAGGCTGGGATGAAGCTAAGATTTTGGATATTGAAAGCCACATCAGGTATAGGAAATACAAGGAAGCGGCCCATATGGCATGCTCGGCCAACCCAATTAGCCAACCCAGTTTGGACTTTTCTCCCATTTGGATCCCCATTATCAGCAATGAAGTCACCAATTCACATAGAAGATCTGTATGACGTGATATATGCTTTATTCATTTCTATTAAGTTCTAAATTAGATAGACGTGATTTACTCCACTGTTGACGCTAGTTAGACACTATTAGTTTTTGTTACTAGTTCTTCTTTCTATTCCATGCCGTGGGGTCATGGACCTGGTTATGAGTTTAGTTTCGTGGCATAAATTTCTACAGATCTATCTATCCATCCTGGTTCACGCTTGTAAGTGTTTGCTACAATTTGTTATGAATATTTTTCTTATTAGCTCTCATGGACTTAGCCTGGTCTCAGGTTTTTATAATCTTCATGTTTTGTGACATCGGTTTGTCCAGTGATTGAGGCTAGCTCTTTCTAAGGGACCCAACTGAATAGGTGTTTTCCTTCACCTGAGGACGGAAACAGATCCAGTTTCCGAAAGGTGTTTTTATTTGTTATCTTAAAAACCAGGACGATGGATAAAGTCCAAAAACCCAACATATCAGTGAGTTTTTACATTGGTTTAGTTTTCTTCCAGCCATAAGGAGGATGGCTGTAAACTAGACCTGGTGTTGGAGAAGGAATACAAAATTAAGTTCAGGTGTCCCCAAGAAGAGGATTATTAATACACAGATCTACAGTAGCTCTCTAGCCTAATCAAATTTACAAATCTATGGGGGTAGTAGTATAGTTGATAATAGAACACAGTGGTTTGTCTGTGATAATACAGAGTATATCAAAACTCAATGGCAAAACTTCAGGATCGGACTCCTCATATAGAGAGAGGAAAAAAAAGTGTATGACAACATGGTTCTGGAAATGCATAATTACAGAGTTATCTGACCTTTTAGTAACGTTAGTGCAATCCGACACTCCCAACACTGTTGAACTGTTACACTGAATATGTCTCTAACACCAGCTGGAACACTCTGGTCACATATCAGAGGAAATGTTCAAAGTGACCTCCTCCTGCCTAAATACAGGCCTCCGCTCATTATCGCACTGAGTGTCGCACACAATCGAAAATGTCCGGTGTAGTGAGTACTGTCTGACAGGCTGCCACAATGCGCCCTGGAGAGTTGGTACATCAGCAACAGCAGCTGAATACATGACAGACTTTAAGTGTCCCCACAGGTAAACGTCCAGGGGGTTTAAGTCAGGAGAGCATGTGGCCAAGCAATCGGTCCACCTCTACCTATCCAGTGCCCAGGATAATGTGCATTAAGGTGCCTGCAGGCAGACAGACTGAAATGTGCGGGAGCACAATCATGCATGAAGTACAGCTGTCAACAGGATAATAGTGGCATGTCTTCCAAGGAATCAGGCAATGTATTACGCAAGAAATCTGTGTAGTTCTGTCCATTAAAGGTAGTCTGGAAGAACGTAGTGTCCCAACAAACAATCACCAACAATGCCTGCCCAGATGTTAATGGTGAACCTCTGTTGATGAGACAATTGGATAGTTGCATGGGGATCTGTGTCTGCCCACACATGCTGATTATGAAAATTTTGGATTCCATCCCTTGCGAATGTCGCCTCATCCGTGAACAACACAACAGCTGTGAAGTTGGGCACTGCACTGCATTGTTGCAGGAACCACCGGCAGAACGTTACTCTTGCAGGGTAATCCGCAGGGGATAAGACTTGTACATGCTGTAGATGATATGGATACAGGAGCTGTTTTCATAGCAGTCTCCAGATCGTCATGTGTGGGATATTCTTCTGCAGGCCTAACTGCCTCATGCTGACTCCAGGACTTTGATCCACAGCACTGAGTACATCTTCCTCGGCCGCAGGGGTTGTACTTCTTGGCCGTCCCCATGCCTGGTGGACGTGTGAAACTCCTGTGTTCTCATAGGCGGCGATGGATTCCTTCAAATGTCTTTTGGTCTGGCAATCTGCTTATTGGGTAGCGTTCCTGATACAAGCGACGCGCCTATGAAGCATTACCATCCGCCAAACCATATATGTAATGCATGCTCGTGAGTTCTTCGTTTGTGTGCATTATTTTTTACTTCACAGCAGATTGCAAACAACACTTAACAATCACAGATAACAGACGTCACACACACCTTTCAGATACGGCTACAGCCACTTAACTGGAGATAACAGGATATCATCTGCGCATCCTAGATGTATTCAGGCTCACATCAAATTGATTTGCAACATGATTACTTGTGTAACAACTGTAACCGGTGTCTCGCATTTTTATTCCGGCAAACAGGACGTGTCGGCAGGCACTCCATAAATTACATGCTGAGATAACTCTGTAATTATGCATTTCTGGACTCATGTTGTCATACACTTTTTTCTTCTCTCTATATGAGGAGTCCGTTCCTGAAGTTTTGCCGTTTAGTTCTGATACACCCTGTATAATCATTTACTTCATTATCTGTTGATACACCAACAAACCTTGTCAAACAAACCTGAAACACATGTACATAAATATCTGGTACAACATAACCACTGCATTAATTTAAAAAAATTTTCATAAGTATTACTATTATCTCCAGAGAATAGATATAATTGTCTATATATAGGAAAAAGTACATAAAACCAATGAAATAAATATTTTATACAAGTTAGGATATGTACTCAGGTCACATACATGGGAAATTTGTATCACTGTGACTGCAGAAATATATACAAGTTAGTAAACAATAGCATAATATGGCGTTATTAAAAAATATAAACTTACTTTATTCTTCTTTATGATAAGATCATGATCTTCCTCTAATAACCTTTTGAGCGTATCACTAAGCTCTAGGGGTACCCGTTCCTCATCGGCCTCACCAGAAGACTCTCCTTCAGATGACGTCATCTCTTCTCCATCATCAGTATCCTCTCCATCTCGCTGACTGTGGCTACCCCCTGAGCTTCCATCTTCGGAGGATCTATCACCCCCACCACGGCGACGTAACTTTTTCTGCTCCAGGCTCTCACTGATTTTCTCTGACAGCTTCCGGTGGCGCTTCTTGCGCTCACGTCTATACAAGTACGCACCCCTACAATATCAAAACAAACTGCTATACATGACATATGTTCCTTCGTCATGAATATGTTGCCTATAGACTAATGTAATCAGATGATGTAACTACTGTTTCAGCTCTGCAACAAAATTTGTGACGTGCGTCACGCTATATAAGTGTACTGATAATGCTAATATCTGAGTCAGCCCAGAATAACATGTCTTCTTTCAAGATACTTGTAATTACAGTTACATATTAACAATGGCTCAAGCTCAACTTGCCATATATAGGTGACTGCAAATTCTTTCCCCTTTTAAGCAGTTAATGACATAATTCTCAAATTGAATGTTAAAAATTCATTTTCCCTAACATAACAGCTGATGACACCTGTTAACTTTGGAAATACACAGTACCAAGCAACTCACATGAGTGTTGTTCATACAGAAATATAAAAACATTCTCATGGTGAGCATGCAGTTCATTATTTCAATTTCACAATTCTTGTAGTAAACTTGGACGAAAAAAACAACTGAATATTAGCATTCTGTACACACTCGCAATATTAGTCAATCCATAAAATGTAAACAGTTACAGAAAATACCAAAACTGAATATATTAATATTACTTACAACTGAAGCTGAGCTTTTTCAGCCAGATCTCTCTGCAGTTGTCGATTCTCGTCAGTATCTTTCAGCACATAATCTTCACTCACACATCTGTCCCATGAGGAATTCCAACCCTTCATAAAAATGAAATGTCAGAACATTCCAGAAATACATCAAATAAAGACCACACAAACCTGGATTAAATATAATTTTAATTTACTGTACCTGAAAATGTATGAGATATTCTACTGCCTTCCTGCCCCTCTGGTCCTTATTCACAATAACCTCCAGCACCTATAATAAATGAAGGTTTTCTTTTGACAAGTACTGACAAAACGGTTTCTGTTATATTCCATTTAACCAAATATGAATAACTACTTTATTAACAAAAAATCCATCAAAAATGCTTATAGCTACAAATATATTCACTGCAGAATTCCCTTAATGCGCAGAAGAAAGTTATAGAATGTATCCGAACATGTGAAAATCATGCAGCCCCGGCACCATCTAAAACTTCAATAATTTGCGATGGAAGTGGTTTCTGCTAATTCCAATGTTGCATTTTATTTCTAATATCTGTGCGTATGCATGGCTAAACTTGGTTATGTATTATCTTACTCTCTCTGTCTATCACTAAACTTATAATTTATTGCAATCTTCTTACTTAGCAATCAATACGGAAACGTCATCTAAACCCACTACTGGCAGACTCCCCGGCCAGGACCTAGCAGTCTACTTTATTCCCCCGAACCCCACCGCCCGTGTAAATAAAACGACTTCCTGTTTGCCTTACAAACACAGGCAGCTAATTCTATAACAAGGATTAAAACTGTCAGGCCAATGGGCAAAATTCAGTACCCAATGGCGAGTAACTCTTTAATTATTCCGTTATCATGTTTATAAAACGACCTTCTACCATTCCGAAACAGCAAAATTATAACAAAAGACAGTCGCCAAGCACGCTTGTCTGCCATTCTTTTTTTCTCGAGTACGATTCTAGCAGGGCGTAATTACACCGTATAAGAACCTACACAAACCATGTTATCTTAAACTACAATACCTTCGAATCATACAGCACTTTTGCTTTCGTCGGATCTGGTTCATAACATAGAACCTTTTCTCCTTCGGAGAATTTGAATTTCACACCTCGAGTAGACACCATCCTCCATACCAAAACAACAGTATGAGAAATTCAGTCAACAAACCGGTGTTTTGATTGAGGAATGAAGCAATGGAAACACTATTTATATTAAGAACTAATTTAGCCGTGTACTTTCATGTACTCAGAATAATAATTTGAATATTTTATATAGAATAAGACTAGTAAAATATACTCTTATTGCCATTTGCAATAAGAAGGAAATTCGTATAAAGTAAATCAAGCTCATAGCTATCCCTGTACCTGTCTCGAGTACATACCATGCAGTTTCACCGTAGCGAGAAACGTCTAAGGAAGCTCAAACGATTTAAGCTCTAAGTTAATCTAGTAATATATAAATCCAGCGATACGGCACAGAAAATTTTGCACTGAAATTTCAGAAACAATCTGTATTATACACTAATAAATACATGAATATGATATATTTATAGATAATCAAGCGCGAACTCGTCTTTTTACTATGGCTGCTGTAAAACATACGAAGCTTCGAACGCATTGTCGTCTCGTTAGCATAGTTATTATAAACTTGTATACTCATTGTCGACATGATGCAATTCTATTGTCACGATACCATTGCTCTCACGATCACAACGATTCTCTAGCGGAGGAAGTAGTTGGGAAATAAATATAATAAAATTTATAACAAATAATACACCTCAATATCCATTAAGCATCGGATACAATAATAAATATATAGAAGAGTCAGGACACACAAAATTCCTTGGCTTACAAATTGATAACCACTTAAACTGGAAATACCATATCGATCAGTTGGTTCCGAAGTTAAGCGGGGCATGTATGCAGTAAGAGCTTTGCTACATGCCAGCAACATTGGTACCCTGAAATCAGTCTATTTTGCCTACTTTCACTCTATAATGAAGTATGGAATAATATTTTGGGGTACTTTTTTTATTTCTAGTGGGGTGGGACTAAGTCCCTTGTACTGCCGCCACTTCTGGCCTATTGTACCAGCCCCAGATGATAGGTGAGGGTGATTGTGGAGCAATTGGTGGAATGAATATTGGCAGGGGAAACCGAAGTACTCGGAGAAAACCTGCCCGAGCGCCACTTTGTCCACCACAAATCCCACTTAACCAGACACGGGTTCGAACCCGGGCCGCCGCGCTGGGAAGCTAACCGCTTGAGCTATGGCGCGGCCCTTATTTTGGGGTATCTCATCTGACAGCAAAAGGGTATTTACATTACAAAAGAAAATTGTTAAAATCACGGTGGGCGTAAAACCTCAAAATTCTTGTAGAGAGCTATTTAAGAGATTACAGATCTTACCACTTCCATGTGAATATATATTTTCATTATTAAGCTTCATTATAAATAACCAAGAAGGTTTTCAGACCAATTCGGATGTACACAGTGTTAACACGAGAAACAAGAACCATCTCCATAGACCGGTTGCTAACCTGACATGTTTTCAGAAAAGCGCATGTTATTCTGGCATTAACATTTGCCACGATCTACCGTCTAGTCTCAGAGTCTAATGAATGAAAGGCGCAATCTAAGTTAGCACTGAAACACGCACTCACTCCACTCTGTTCATGAATTCCTACTGTCTAAAAACGGCTTGTCCTTATAAACGGTTATGTTCATAGCATAAGCGGACGGTATTGACTTAATAATGGATATATTTTTTGTTGTTGTCTCTCAGCTGTACTGTATTTATGACTTTTGTATTTGTATGTCTTGTTCCACATTCTATAGTCATTCTGACTTACTTTGGATCTACGGAATAATGTATGTATGTAAATAAGTTAGCTTCGACTTGAATCCGTGAAGGTAGTAGCAAAACTGCCGATCACAGTGGCCGCTCGGTCTAAAGCACGAACTGTCTTCGCTTGCTCGAACGCTGGGATTGTAGGTTCGAATCCCACTGAAGGTATGGATATATGTTTGTGTTGTTCTCCGTGTAGGTAGCGGCCTTGCGACGGGCTGTTCCCCCGTTCAAGGAGTCCCACCGACTGTGTATAAGATTACGAAATTGAAAAAGCAGCCAAGGTCCAACAGAAGGACTGTCGATCCATAGATTGATAGATAGATAGATAGATAGATATATAGACCAATTTCAGTAATTATTTTTTGCTTATGCCTTTCCACCTGATTTAGTACCACGCATCATGATCAAGGAGTGAAGTTACCAATTACATTATATTGTCACGTGTATAAGTATGACTATAGACAGGGTTCGGAATGGAAACTGGATATGTTGAACCTTAACGATTATAACTACAAGTAACTGCAGCGGCGCTGTCGCTAATTTACACACTCAGCAATTCATTGCAGCACATACTAAGTCTTGTCAGCCTCCTGTCTTCACCAGTTTTCTGGCAACGGCTTCCGAAGGAGGGACATTCCAGTTCCTGTGGGTTCCCGAACTGTCCCCGTGCTTCAGCTACCATCTCCTGACAGCAACAGCTCCCAGGAACTGAACTGCACCAGTCCTGTAACTCAGTGGTTCTCAACTGGAGCCATATGCCCCCCCCC